GGTTAAAAGCTCTCGTGTCAGTAGCATGCGCATGCGCATGCGCAAAGGAATATGTCCCAAACGGAAGCCGAAAGCGCAGTGATTACATACCCAATTATTACCAGTGCTCCACCACCACTGCATCACGCAGTGATCACATGTCACTCCCTTGAGCAGCTGCAGGGTGATAGTGTAGACGCCGTTTCCTCGGGGCAGTTTCCACTCCGCGTTTCCATCTGGCATTCTCAGCAAGATCTTGTTTAACTCATTTTGCGTGATTTGCTTTTGTGTCAATGGGGCGAGACGAAATGTGAAATAACCTAAATGATTGGTCGTGATTCTTATTTTAACCTCAATTTTTTGACCTTCCTGGTAGCTTCTCACAATCGGCGCATTTTTTGCGAACTCCTCGGGATAATAGAACTTAGGGTTCGCGATCCCATATTCGTCCCCACAAACGCCACATTTGCCCTTGTGTTTCCCCCATTGTACGTTTCTACCACCGCAGCTCAGTTGGTTGTCAGTGTATTCTTTTGGACCTCCGTAACCTTTGCGCCAACGACTCGCGCGATTGACTAGATCCATCATCATACCATAGCCACGAACTAACGCGAGAAAAACCGCGGCGAATATTGCTATGATGATGACAGATAAATACATTGTAGTTCCTAGAATGATCGGAAATTTCAATACATGATTCCAGCTATTTTATACATATACATAAAATAATAGTAATAAATGGTCATCACTTTTGACCATCATTTGATTTAGATAAAGCGAAGTGTTCTAGAACTATTTGATCAACTATACCGGGTGTCCCAAAAAAAAGTACCTATTTTTAATTCAACATAACTTGTAAGCAAACTGAAGAATTGCAATATAATAATCCATATTAAGTGGAGTAATGTCTAACTTAAAGTTTGATATATTACATATGAAGTTTGGACGAGTAGTGTCTGAGATATTCCCGTTTAAAGTCGCAGCAACGTTTTGAAACTTGTCAAAAATCAGGAAAAAATGGCCTATTAAACTTGTTTCAACAATACCGGTTCGTAACATGGTGTCTTGTAACTTATTTTTTAGTGTTTTTTTTTAAATCGTTTTTTACTTGTTCTTATTCATCTGCAAATTCATGTCCACCAGCAGCAACATACTTTCTTGGTCGTGTGAGCATGCCATCAAAAGACCTTTGAATCATGTGGGCGTCCAAATTGCGACGTGACCTAAGAATCGCCTCGCGAAGTTCTCCCAAATTTTGAGGTTGTTGGTCATTAGGTTGTTGGTGTGCTGCTTTAAATAGCCCCAGAGGAAGAAATCACACACCGTCAGGTCTGGGGAGCGTGGAGGCCACGGCCAATCGCCGCGTTTACTCATGAGCCGACCAGGAAATTGCCCCTGTAGATATCGGATTGTTGCGTTTAACAAGCCATTTTTTGCTCATTTTTGACACATTTCAAAACGTTACCGTGTCTTTAAACGCGACTAATATCTCGGAAACTACTCGCTCAAACGTCATATGCAATATATCAAACTTTAAGTTAGACATTACTCAACTACACATGGATTATTTGATTGTAATTCTTTAGTTCGTTTATAAGTTATGTTTAATTAAAAATAGGTACTTTTTTTGGGACACCCGGTAGTCACCCAAACGTGGGGTTTAAGGTGTAAAACAGGTAATTAATATTATGGCAAATGATTATAAAAAAGTCCGTTAAATAAAGCTGAAACTCTAGTATTTCTTTAAAAATTGCAGTACACACGAGAATATGTTTAGAATTTATGATAGTAATATAATGCAATTATAATAAGGATTGTTATAAGGCAGAAATGATTAACTTAGACATGATCTTTTTGACAATCGTATTATGATAAATAAAATTATCCTACCGTACCACCAATTTCAATAATTTTCTCACCTGATTTAATCCTTCCACGTTGTTGTGATAGCAAAGTGAGCACAGAGGATATACTCCCAATATAAAGACTTCTTGCTTGTCTTATAAAACGTAAAATGACTGAAGTTTTCCAACAGCATATATTTCGTCAGATTATGTCCACACATCTGAACTGCTGAATACACGATATCTAGCTGTAATTTAACAGCTACACAGCAGAAATTGTCATTCTTTATTTAAGAAAAAAAATGCTTGCTTTGAGCAAAATTTTTCGAAGTCTATTCATTTCTTTCGTCTCCTTACTGCCTCTGGGCGAAAATCTCCACTATGCGGTATCGGCTGTAGGGCTATTTGATTTTCAGAACCTGGTGTGTTGGAACATCGTATAGGACACGTCTAGCGGGCATTTTGCAGCGCAAAGTATACAAATTTTTTGCCCATACGACATATATTTTTTGTAATGTGACGCTAGTCGATTTCCTTTCGTGCCCAGAATGACGTCAGAACCCAAATTATAGTTCTTTTCTCCCGGCCAACTATTAAAAGAACCTATATTTTGGCATTCTTGATCCAAAATATCCTTAGAAGGATTTAACAGACCGGGGAATGATACATATCATTCGAATCGCCTGATACGAATTTTTTGGTGAAAAATGGTAACAATGTGATATGCACTTTCATGCGATATATTTTCTAATATCTGCTGACGATCAAAGCCTTTTAGATATCAATGACGACAGGCAACTAGACCCCGATGCTCCGGATTTTAGCTGTGAATCAAGCCTCAATGCAGGAGCCGTTAACATAATTTGTAGCACTATAATTTAGCTAGAATTTCTAAGCTCTCCTATAGAGAGAACCGTATAACGACAAACTTGTACATGTAAATAGTTTACCCTCTTCTACGATCCTACGGTATGAAATTATATATTTATAATAACGATAACATCAAAATAGCGCATTTGGGTGCCTCAAAGGAATGTATGCTTGCTGGCATGACATTTGTATATATCTTCCCATTACAATATTACTTGCGAGCTGTTGCGATTAGTGAGAGAATAAAACACCATTTTCTGTGTATAAGGTGTTGAAAATCTTGAACCAATATACTAAAAGTGCACATATTTCCCCACATAATTTTGTTTCATCTACAACACAATGAAAGTGCATGCATTATTGAAAATGCTAAGTATTACTAAGAATCACAATTATTCTTGCATCTTCCAAGTACAGCGACGTCGTAATTTTGACTAGAAAGTGTATCAGGCACGGATTTGTTCAAAGTTTTTCGCCTCATTTTATCCCTTAAAGGTAAGACAACTTTCTTTATTCCTTTGCTGATTCTGGTAAATGCGTAAAAAGCGGTTTTAAGCCGCAACAATTCCAAACAAGAAACTGCAATATGTCAGCAAGGGTTGTAGATGTAGAGCAGTTAGTTTCACGCTGGATTTTCTAACATACGACAAGATGCTAAAAGTCCTTAGTCCTGTTAAATATAAAGACTAATTCCTTCGCTATGGCTGCATGCGTTGATTCAAACGGTACCGGATTCGTATTATTAACAAGTGTTTACTAATTTGGTTGATTTAGTAGCTATATACTTACTCATGTCTCGGTCTTTAAAAATCTCCACTGCCTTTTTTAACTTCAAAATTTGACCTGTTCCGCGGTCGCAATCCGGTATACCGAGTGAACGGCTCCTGTATTACATAAATTAAGTTAAGATTCAAATTAACAGTGATATACTTTTAGACTATTAGATTGTATACATGCAACAATATGCAAAATGGACGTTACGTTTTGCACCAATAGTTGTGAATTATATTGTCAACGGTTGTTTACCACGCAAAGGCTAAAGCCTGAACGCTTATAATTATATTAGACCCTATATATAGTATGGCTTAGAAACTTTGATAGAATTTCGGGTCTTAAAACAGGTAATATGGGCCATTTCATTGAAATCGTAGCGACTTCATACTATGATTTGGTCGTTCTGCATGATAACTCTTTAAAGATGCATGTAAATTGTTGGGTGGTGAGTGAATTTGAACTTTGCTGCATTGGTGATTAAGAGTGCACAATTTAAAAATCTTTGCGCGGAAATAAATATTTTTTCGAGAGCTTTTCACGAAATGCAGTATACCATTGCGAAGAACTACTATATAGGCATATATGTATCTTACATATATCATTATTACATGTTACTTATAGGCTCTGTCTACACAATTTCGGAAGAAATTAAATCCAAATTCATCCAGTCAATCTATATATTTGTTACAAAATGTAGTATACCTTGTTGTGGTAAAAATGTGCGGAATTGGTTACATATATTATAGGTCAAATTTCACAACTGCATTCGACCACATATCGTCAAATATCTTTTGGTGAAATATCCGTACAATTGGCGATCGAATCAAAATCAGATCCTCGTAGCGATAGTTTAGACCTTCATGGGAGCTGGGGTAATTTGAAACCTTTTTAGGTCGGGATATATTAAAGCTACAATCTCGCCAAGCCAATATAAATTATATATAATTATGTATACATTGCAAAGTTCAAAATTTCCAAATGAAAATTACAATTGTTTATATATTGATTCATCATCATCCTAAGCTCGATCCGGAGAGAATATATCTTTTTTGTCGCTTCAAAATCACGTGAAGGAGATAATAAGAGCATTCAAGACAATTGAACCTAAACTATAACTGCACGGTCGCATGAGTAGATTTAGGCCAATGATGCACGAGGATTGTATATTAATATATTATACATATATTACTTGCAATGCAAAGTTATCGAGGAATTTTTTGCAATTTTTTCAATATTATAATAAAATGTATTGCAAAACATCAAAACTTTTGATATATTCAACATTCGCAACCATGGTATAGGCACTTTAAGATTATTTAGAAAAATTCCAACAAACGTCTTGTGAAGTAGCCAGACGAAAAAAAAATAGCTACTAGATAATTTAAAAAGTTTTTTTACAAATTCGCGATTGGTTCGCGTTCTCGTAGCACCTACAAATTACGATATTTTGGTTTATCTCGTCTAACCGAGGAATTAATAAAGCATTATATTTTTATAGAATAGCGACTTCTTAGTGATTTACATAACCCCTGAATGGACAAAGCATTATCCGAAGGTGGAAAGGTTCTACGAGCAGGTGAAACACTCTTTGGCGGGATATTTTCGATCGGTGTTTCCACTGACAATGTGGAAGTAGCTAAAACACTAGGTCAAGGACTGGGAATAGGACTTGGAATAGGACTAGGTCTGGGTGCTGTGTATGTTGGTTATAATTCATTAAAACCAATAATCGAGGGTGCAGTTAAAAAAGGTGTTGGTGGCGAACGCGATGATCAGGACGTTCGTGACATTCGACCAGGAAGTTTGCATTTTGAGTTACATTGTTTCACTGACGAAAGGTTTCTGGAAGTCTTGGAGGATTACGAATCAGGAAGAATGAAGGAACACTTGCAGGATGAACTTTCGCTGGTTGGAATTAAAGTGGAAGGACTGAAGGTGAAGATTAAAAACATGGAGGAGGTGAATGAGACAAGGGACGCCATAAAAACGAGGTATATAATCAACAAAAAAGCGAGTTGACTAATTTTGCCGGTGCGAGTTAGAAAGTAAGATTGCGTGCAACATGCCAGTCGCGGGGTAAGCAGACCAATCATGCACCTCATTCGTTAGTCTCATTTCGTGTCCCGCTTCAACTAGCCAACTTGTCAAAAAGTGATTACAGTTGTGGGCAATTTCTGTCTCGTCTAAGCAAGTTGACTCGGAAAGCTAGAACCGAGACAACTCGCTCGCTTCCCAAGTAATCCAAATATTAATAATCATTTGGGTTAAACATTTAAGAAGCGGGTCACTCAGCAAAGCGGTCCAACTCGTTCAGCTGAGTCAACTCAAATGTTTAGATACACCCGGTATAAATAACTTTGAGAAAACCACCTTCATGATGTTAAGTGCTTCCGGAAGTCAAGTCCGTATTTACACAAACGGTTTGTTTACATTTTGAACATCAAACTCTTTATATCTAAAACTATTTAGGTTCGTTACGTTACGAAACATTGGAAATTTTGTTAATTTTTAAAATAAAGTGCGCTAACATGTTGTGAGCAGAACCGATGCGCAGAACGGGTTTAATTGACATCCACTTTAAATGGACAGCCTGGTTTATTATCATCTACTATTGACCCAACAATAAAGTGCTAATTTTCTTAATAGAGGTTTATACTGTTCGAAGTATAGTACTACATTTTAGTCGATAGTGTAATTTTTAACTTTATCTATTCATAATATACGCAGGTCCCGGACCAAGAATATTTCTGTTAGCAACATCAAAAGTCTTGTTATTAGTGATGTAGAGGATGGTAATAAAGATAAGGAGGTAGGAAAACTTAAGGAGGTTAAATTTTGCGATTGTTTTTTTTAAAACTGATGAGTCTGTTAGAAGAATCTTTTGTATTTTTGGTCCTAAGGTATTAACTCCATCTAGGAATTTCAAGAGAAAATTCGTATGACACACTAAAACAGAAACGGAGCTAGCTAGTGAGCTTAATTGGGGGGAGGAGAAATTTTTACATCTTAATGTTGAAATAGGCGTAAAAACAATCCCTATCAAAACAAATAAATGAGGCACAAGACGAATTTATGAATATTTCCCCCCCCCCAAAAAAAAATATACAAATAACTCATCTAATGGCAATTACTTTCTTAGGCTAAATTACAAACAGAAATGGTTAAACGTGATTCACAACTCGCATCTAAACAAAAAGCCCTTGAAATTAGTCTAAAGCAATACGGAGAAGATCATCCCGACACAGCTAACAGTTACCACAACATTGGATACGCACAAAATGAGATGAAAGATTTCAAGTCAGCATTAGTTTTACATCAAAAAGCTCTTCACATCAGATTGAAACTATATGAAGAAGATCATCCCGACACAGCTAACAGTTACAGCAACATTGGATACGCACAAAATGGAATAAAAGATTTCAAGTCAGCATTAGTTTCACATCAAAAAGCTCTTCACATCAGATTGAAACTATATGGAGAAGATCATCCCGACACAGCCAACAGTTACAGCAACATTGGATACGCACAAAATGAGATGAAAGATTTCAAGTCAGGATTAGTTTCGTATCAAAACGCTCTTCACATCAGATTGAAACTATATGGAGAAGATCATCCCGACACAGCTAACAGTTACAGCAACATTGGATACGCACAAAATGAGATGAAAGATTTCAAGTCAGGATTAGTTTCGTATCAAAAAGCACTTAAAATCAGACTGAAACTATATGGAGAAGATCATCCCGACACAGCTATCGGTTACAACAACATTGGATACATACAACATAAGATAAAAGATTTCAAGTCAGCATTAGTTTCATATCAAAAAGCTTTAGATATCAGTTTAAAACTATTTGGAGAAGATCATCCCGACATAGCAAGTAGTTACTCCAACATCGGCTTTGCACATTATGGGATGAAAAATTACAAGTCAGCGTTAGAATCGAAACAAAAAGCTCTCGAAGTCAGATTAAAAATATATGGAGAAAATCATCCAGACACCGTAGAGACTTATCGTGACATTGGTGTCAAAAACGTTCAATGAGGAACCTCCACGCAGCACATGACCTGCATCAATATGTCGTGCAAGCACAACTGAAACTGCATGGTGAATACCACGACGATACTGCTTTTAGTTATGTCAGCCTGGGAATCACACAACGCGAGATGAAAGATTACAAGTCTGCTTTAGAATCGCATGAACATGCTCTAAGAATCAGTTTGAATTTGCATGGAGAAAATCATCCTGACACTGCCGGTATTTACAGCAACATTGGAGCCACACAATGTGAAATGGGAAACTACAAACTCGCATTAGAGTCGCACAACAAATCTCTTCAAATCAGATTGAAATTGTTTGGAGAACATCATCCCGACACAGCTGATAGTTATACCCAAATTGGGATCGCACAACAGGAAATGCAGGATTACAATTCAGCATTAGAGTCCAAACAAAAAGCTCTACAAATCCTAGTAAAACTCTTCGGAGAAGATCATCCTGAGATGGCTGAATATTCTCTCGATATTTCTCGGGTAAAAGGTCTTTTGAATAATAAGGCGAACCCTGGACAGATACAAAGGAAACCGCCAGTTTGGAGCGATTATTTGTAGAGAAGAGCATCTGAACATTTAAAAAAATTTCAACTACATTTTTTGTTTGTTAGGCCATATTAGAGTGTACATTCAGAGCATATCTAATATCGAATCTAAATTCCAGTTTTTATTCGCCATTGTTAGTTTATAGGGTTGCGCATATCCATTAGAGATTTATGTTTGTTTCTTATGCGGCAGAAATGTAATGTATGAGCGCGAATCAAGCATGGATGTAATCATAGACCAAAATATAATGTCTTCTGGATTGTCTATGACGTCATTGTGTAAGCCCGTATTAATTAACTGTAAGTATAGAGTAATATAAGCGCATTAGGTAAAGTGTGAGGTAAATTAGACGTGTGCAGATGACACGCCCATAAAAGAGACAAGAAGAGAGATCTGTAATACGAGTAGAAGTCAGATACTTGTTAAAGATATCACTTGTTGATTTAAATAATAATATAAGTAAAGTATTGGACTGAAATATTGAATAAACAAACTAGTTTTAGCAAATATAGTGTTCAGTTGAAATACCAAGTAACTAAATTTATAACAAAAACTTTTTAGGTTCAAATACATAGGGTAGAACATATCATATTATCGCACAAAAGTAGTACTTTTTGTTTTTCGTTATTAAGAATTTTTTCCGTTAATTTTATTAAGAATACCGTTTTTCCCCTTTTAGCTAGTCTGAGTGGGATTCCAAAAACCTTTCGAATCCGATAATTCAATGTAGCGTATAGTGTAAAATAAATCAGGGTATAGGCATGCAGCTGCTGATGGGGGCTTGGAGCACAAAATATCACAACACCCAAGTTGAATACGACTATGTTAACTTCTATTTTTTATCAATTAAGATCTTCCCAAAGATAAGACGCGAACTACGGTCATATAAATCTTAATATGCATGCCCTTTAATAGATAAATAAGTTCAAAAATCGCATATGCCTCCAATATTTGCCTGAAATTTGTATCATGTTTGTAGCATATATGCAGGATTTAAGTGAGATGATTCGTGGTAGAAAATAACAAAGAGATCTCACTCTAATTTTGGTCTACATGAACAGTGATTTTACTCGTCTAGAAAGATCTAAAGTCATAACCAACAAAATCTTGTTTACTTCGGCAACAATGTAAAAAAGACTCCTTCAGTTTGCCAAAATATTGGTCATTTGCGACGTTGTTTATAGTGAGTAAAATATTACAAAAAGATGAGAGTCGGGCATTTAATTTAAAGGACATCCTTGCCTCACTTGTCAAAAACGTTGCACTTCCAAATACCCTTTCCCACGATGTTGAATATGCCGCCATTTTTTCGGTACTTTTTTTTCAAAATCGTGAGCGCAAGACCTTGAAATGGCGACTGTCTTCAATTTAAGACTGAATTTATTCTTCAAATGGTCTGTTGATTCTAAAAAATATTGCTTTTTATGTTCCATAGCTACCCCCAAAACATCATCGTGAGAAAAGCTAAGTGTGTTCATTCAAACTTGAACACTTTTGGCAGTTTTGTGGCACAATAAATTTAAACACTGATTCTCTCCGTAGCAAAATGTAATTTGTTAAAAGTTCTTTTCGCTTAGTGTACAAAACTGTCGATAAAATAAAATGTGCCAGTATTTCTAAGTGGCCGATTAAACCCATTTTCGGCATATAACCGCGAAGTTCTACCAGTTGATTATCCCAGAAGGGGGGAAGCGCAGCGGAAAAATAATTACTGAAACATAACCGCTCTTACTGGTAAAAAATGGCGTCGCTGATCTCAAACTTAGACCTGGACAGTGCGCTATTCAACACGTGTGCCTATATTGAAACCTCAAACACGGGTTACTTCCAGCAATAACCTAAGCAAGAAAGGTTTCCAGTGGCTCTCAATCTATGTCAGCATAATTCGTGTGCGCAAAGTACAAAATATTAATTTTGCTCGTTTAATACACATTTAATAATTTTAATAACTGGCATCTGATGACGTTAGATCTACATTCTAGTCACATATACAAAGACTTGCTGGACAATTACCAAGAGCACAATTTAACCGACACCAGTTGTCCATGGATGGTCGCGGGTTGTTAGGTAAGGCATGGCAATTCTTTCCTGCCGGATTGGTAGGGCGTGGAGGCCGAGGTCGCATTGTGGAGGGTGGTCTTCTGGTGGGTTTTAGGCGCTTAGTTGGCCTGGGGTTTCGGGTGGGTTGGGGTTTTCCCTCATGAGGGAGAATGGCAATATCAGCACAATTTACAAAGGATTCTGGTTTGTCGTTTACCTGTAGAGAAGAAATGAGATTAGTTTGGATGGATTTAAGCCCTGGTCAAACGAGAATGATAGTTGATGAGAGTTGATAAGAGTTGCAACTCTCGCTTGCGTTTGACCGCGAACTCTCATACACTCTCGTACACTCTCATCAATTCTCATCAACTTTGAACTGGTTCAAATTTTGATGAGAGTTGATGAGAGTTTGGGCGCGTTTGATCCGTCATGAGAGTTGATGAGAGTTGCAAAACCGCCAGCGGTTTGCATTTTTTTTACATAACAAAAAAATAGCAAAACGAAGTGGAGTAATGACGAAATTAATGCGCGCGGTAGTCAACTCTCGTTCTCAAATCTCATCAACTCTCATTCTCGTTTGACCAGGGCTTTAGATATCATCCAGTTATAATTTAAGTGGTTAAAAGCTCTCGTGTCAGTAGCATGCGCATGTGCAAAGGAATATGTTCAGACGCAGGCGAAAAGCGCAGTGATTACATACCCAATTATTGCCAGTGCTCCACCACCACTGCATCACGCAGTGATCACATGTCACTCCATTCGGCAGCTGCAGGGTGATAGTGTAGACCCCGTTTCCTCGGGGCAATTTCCACTCCGCGTTTCCATCGGGCATTCTCAGCAAGATCTTGTTTAACTCGTTTTGCGTGATGGGCTGTTGTGTCAATGGGGCGAGACGAAACGTGAAATAACCCAAATGATTTGTCGTGATTCTTATTTTAACCTCAATTTTTTGACCTTCCTGGTAGCTTCTCACAATCGGCGCATTTTTTGCGAACTCCCCGGGATAATGGAACTTGGGGTTAGCGATCCCATATTCGTCCCCACAAACGCCACATTTGCCCTTGTGTTTCCCCCATTGTACGTTTCTACCACCGCAGCTCAGTTGGTTGTCAGTGTATTCTTTTGGACCTCCGTAACCTTTGCGCCAACGACTCGCGCGATTCACTGGGTCCATCATCATACCATGGCCACGAACTGACGCAGGAAAAACCGGTGCGAATATTGCTATGATGATGACGGACAAATACATTGTAGTTCCTAGAAAGATCGGAAATTTCAATACATGATTCCAGCTATATTATACATAAACATCAATTCTAATCAAGACAAGAGCTATAAAACCCAATACCACAGCTATCTTGCATGGGTAAAACTGCGAAGATTATAGTTACAAAATAATGGAATATAATATAATAAAATAATTTTAATAAATGGTCATCACTTTTGACCATCATTTGACTTAGATAAAGCGAAGTGTTCTAAAACTATTTGATAAACTATAGCTACCCGAACGTGGCGTTTAAGGTGTAAAACAGATAATTAATATTATGGCAAATGATTATACAAAAGTCCGTTAAATAAAGCTGAAATTCCAGTATTTCTTTAAAAATTTCAATACACGCGGTAATATGTTTAGACTTAATGATAGTATACTATTATATTATCATACAATGCAATTATAACAAGGATTATTATATAAAGCAGCAATGATTAACTTAGACATGATAGGAATTTCTGCATGCAAAACAATTTTTGACAATCGTATTATGATAAATAAAATTATCCTACCGTGGCACCAATTTCAATAATTTTCTTACCTGATTTGATGCTTCCACGCAGTTGTGATAGCAAAGTGAGCACCGAAGATATACTCCCAATATAAAGACTTCATGTTTGTCTTATAAAACGTAAAATGACTGAATGAAGTTTTCCAACAGCAAATATTTCGTCAGATTATGTCCACACATCTGAACTGCTAAATACACGCGATGTCTAGCTGTAATTTAACAGCTTGCCGTTTTGTTAAGATAGCGAGCAGGCGAAATACTTGAATTTGAAACGAGTCACGAATAATTGTGCAGGCTAAGCAATCAAACAGGGACAAATTTGAACAGTGTTTGAGAGAGCTTCAAATGGTATGAATTCATTTTTCTTCCTTGGGAATCAATGATGATTAAAAGAAGCAAAACAAATCCTAAAAAAGGATATCCTTCCGAATATTAATTCAAGATGGAAGAAAGCAATAGTGGGTTATTAGCTAGTGAGCAAATAGAAAGCAATAATGGGTCTGGTTTTCATATCAAACTAAAATTCATATCAAGAACATCATACGTCGTGTATACATGCACTATTAAATCTTCGCATTATTTCGATAAATCTAATCTTGTTCAAACACTAAAGATAATGTACCGTTCCTGTTTGCGCATGTGCAGTGCTGACGCAATGAAGACAAAAGAGACCTCACAATACACTTCTCTTTATTCGAACAGTACGTACAATAGAATAAAGCCCGTCATAATTAATTACCATTGCCACCGGAACAGCTCAAATTTTGTACGCGTGTAGGCATTGAAGATTTTGTTTCAGAAATGAAAACGTAGATGTGATGACGAAAGAATCCAGTGTTATGTGTTAACGAAGTCAAAGTTGAGATGTACAAGTACAACAGTTATAATCGGTTATTGAAATTCGGGGAAAAGGAGGGGCGCACGAAAAACTTAACAGTCACTGGATTGATCTCAAACTTTTAGCAACGGGCAAATAACCCCTGCTATGAGTCCAATCAAGAGAGTCCAATCACGCATTCTCTTGTTGGAAAGAGAAGAAACATTGCAACGCATATTTACACTAAAGGAGATTTGTAATTTTTCAAGGTGGTAAGGGTTGATACTGACACGATTTACCTTTTGTACATTTAACAAAATGTCATAACGCTTTCCACGTCTTCAACCAGTCCATGTAAAAGCCATTAGTTTAGAGTAGCTTTGTTTTATGCATTCGTTGGCCAATATATGTAAATCTATATTAAGAACTACTGTGAGCTATATATATATATATATATATATATATATATATATATATAT